CATGAACACAAGTGGCAAAACTATCAGCTTTGCTTCTCGAGGATCTTTGAGTTCCTTAAGTTAGGATTTCATATCCTCCTTTGTGATTAAATGATAATATCTTGTCTTGAGTCAAATGTTAAAAATGACTTTAAAGTGAAACAGTTTCTTCTGAGGAATGAATATCGAAAGCTTTGATACATCAGTCGCTCTGGCAACCACTCAGACCCGCTGCTCGCTGTGTGTAATCTGTGACTCAGTGTGTGTAGTGTCACAGTTATCGAGTGTGCAGCGGGTGTCACCCTTTTTATATGTGTACGCATGTGTGTGAGCACGCGTGTGTGTAAGGGAGTGATAAGGGGTGTTTCACTTTAAACTTAAAAAGGGCGAGAATATCGACATGTCTAGACATGCAAGACTGAGAGCGGGAGTGCAGAGAGCAACAAGGACATTCACACCTCCTACACACAATACACACACAGACACACACACAAACAAACATGTAAGCACGCACACTCGTTCCAGACAATCAACAACCTCAGACAGGGCATTAAGGGCAGGTCCAGCGTGATATGAATGTGTTTCATTGCTCTCAGCAGAAAAAGGAGCAATCGTATTGCTGGCGTGTTGTCATGGATACACTGTTTCCACCGGTAGAATTAGTGCAGTAAAGCGTTCAGGCCTGAGCTGATTACTGGTGTGCACTTTTCTCTCCCCCCTCTCTCCTTCTCTCTCTCTATCACATTCCTCGCACTGCTGCTAACAGCCACCTGCCTCTGTAGCGTAACGTTTCCTCCGCCATACATTTTTTAAAACACCTAGAGCCATCGCGGGCCCAGAAACAAACACAGAAGAAGGCAGAGCAGGCCCCACGGCTGAGATCTCTCCTAAATATAGCCCAGCTCAAGTGCAGCTGCATTAGCATCACAAGTTTCATTACTGCTCTCTTTGAGTGCATCTGCAGTCTTTAGTGACGGAGAAGAAGGAGGAATAAGAGCTCAGAAGTAGCTCAGGAGCTGTTTTATTGCTATACTTTCCACCCACGGGAGTGATTATTAGGAAAGGTCTAGTGGTAGTAACGTGCAGTCATGGGTCAGATGCATAGTTTTCCCCACTTTAAATCGTGTGCAAGTCTTTATCAGTTCAGCCTTTTGCTTGTCACTAAACCAAGTAAACCAATAAAAACATCTGATGTAGATATCCGAGCAGTGCTTCTCTGTGATAGTTTCACAACTCACTACTGTCAGTAGTTGATCAGTGCACTTCACCTCTTCCGGGTGTTAGCATTTCCTTAAAATGTTCAAAGTATCTCTAGCCAGGTTTTTCATAGCTAAAATAACCTAAACCGAAAAATAAAACTACCCACCGTTGCATTTGGCCATATTCTGGTATGTCACAACCACAGAGAGTATAAAACGTGGACATAATCACCATGACATCACCCACTGGTTTGTGAAGGCAGTTATGAAGCCTTGCGCCGAGCATTTTCACTGTCGCCATCTTAGTGTTTTGAAACTGGATGTGATGAGTGAGGGTTAGATCTCGCTAATGGCTTGTAATTCACAAGAGACAAGAAACCCCCTCCCTGCTCTCACCAGTGAGCTTCAAACTTTGCTTTTTTGACAAAGCTAATGGTTAAGACCTCCAAGTATGCCTTCGCCTTAGTTATCCCGCTATAGGCTCATGCTGCTGGGGACTTCCCCTCTTTTTACTAACCATGTTTTATATACCACAGCTGCATGTCTGTCTTTGTGTCTCTCTTTTTTCTCTCCCTTCAACCCCAAACTGGTCACAGCAGGTTACTGCCACTCCCTGAGCATGGTTGTGTTGGAGGTCTCTTCCTGTTAAAACAATGTCCTTCTCCCCGCTTTTGCCAAATAGTTGCTTGTGTGTCTGTTACAATAACATGTTTGCAATGTAAAGTGCCTTGTGTGTACGATATGTTTAAATTGAGAGATTTTAGCCTTTACACACATGTGCTACACAGATGAGCAGGTCGTAGTAGTAATTATTGTAATTGACCACATCTGTGGCTGGAAACAGCAAAATGTGTTGCATGTCGACAGTTTGAAATTCACGCTTCTTTCTATTGTTACAATAATTCGTGACATTATAACTGTATCCTATTGAGCTGCTCATTTAAACTAGCAGACTGTCATTAGTTACACTTTATTTGAAAGGGTCTTAATTCTCTTAATTTGGTCTTATAGCCAATTCAAGAAATGTCTTCACTGAATATTCTACAGTAACAAATGTCTGCATCAGGACTTATTTGATTATTAGGATCCCCATTAGCTGTAACACAAAGCACAGCTATTCCTTCTGGGGTGGGCGTGTATATTAACACATTTTAAAACAGTGATGTAAAACAGCGTGACTTCTTTTAACTTGTGGATGAGGTGTAACCAGTTGCCCAGAAGTCATGTGACGTGTCATATAGCTGTGACAGAAGTCTGTATGAATCGGTTTATCACAAATGAAGTGTGTCATGTGTTTCAGTCAAGCAGTACACATAAATAGCCATAGACCTGCCTGTAATTTGCCACACACAGAAATCCAGTGTAATTTTGTTTGGGATTGTTTGTTTATGTCTTGTGTTTATATAATGAACGGTTGCTATGGTTGCTATCAAATGTTGTCTCTGCTCTTCCTTAAAATGTCTGCATCAGCTGATTTGTCCTCGATTGAGACCTTCAATCTCGCGGGTTTAAGAGCAGTGCAGCTGGATTTTACCTTCAACCGACTAATGAGGAAAACAACAATAACGTGTGTGAATTGTTTTGCATTTAAGGACTTTCCCGGGCATCTTAGCAAAGCGTCTTGTGGTGTATAAAGAATTTGAATAAGCCTCACTTCCTCAACTGAAGTTCCCTTTACAAACAGTAGTATAAACTTGGAGAAAGAAGTACGGAGTCCAGAAGTCTCAGTGCTGTGATGCTAGTCATGTGATCCAAGAATCTGCATCTAAAGGATTTCTTAAACACAGTGAAACTAACAGCAGCTACAGTACATCCAAGATGCACTTCTTTTTCTTACTTGTCTAGCTCAGCAGTATCTAGATCTTCATTTAGAAGAGCAATAGCTGGCAAATGGTTAGCTATATTTAGACCATTTTAATACTTAATTATATAATTATAAATGGAAATGGAAACTGGACATGTCAGTGCTGCAGCGAAGAGTTCACCACCAGTTCGTTTCCACCAGGCTGGACTTGAATCTGGACTAATGGAGGCAGGGGAGGAACAGGGAGCTGGGAGGAACTGAAGCTGAACGCTTTATCAAATAAACTCAGTAAAGATGTCTAAAATACCATGCCTCTGTAATTAATATAACTAGAAAGGTTAGTGGTGTATAATTCAACAGTTTAACAAGTTTATGTAGCTTAGTTTCCATTAACCTTGTGAGTCTCTTCTTTTACATGCTAACATGCTGGTGTTTAGCAGGTTTCTTTTCTGCTGAGTTTACCACCTTGGTTAAGGATATCAGCATGTTCACGTTCACTAAGTAGCCTGAAACACAAAAAACAGCTGTGGTGAATGGGAATGTGTTTGGTTTTACAGGATCAGTCAGTAACAGACAACCGTGCAGGGTTTTTCTCCATGCAGGAATCTTTTGTGCACCCCAAAAATGCTTTAACCCAGAAGGATATTGTAATAAATATATTGAAATCAAATTATGCTTGAGCTTTTCATTCGCTCAGCAGTAAAACACTGTAGAATTTGGTCTATAAAATGTTCAGAAGGAGCATAAGAAAGCATTAATTTATGTCATGTAAGGCCAAAGAATCACTTACTTTATGTGAATTAAACATGCCTACTGGGATCCCCATAGACCCATTTCAGCCAGCTCAGAATGAGTGGTGGCAAACCAGTGTTTACCAGCATCCAGACTCATCCTCTGTGAGCTATGAACATTGAGTAAAAAATGAATGTTAGTCCAATGTTGTTGAGATGTTTTAGTCTTTAACAATATCCTGGTTCAACACAGTCGTTGCCATTCCAGGGAAATATTGGAAATACATAATTATTAGGACAATTCATTGGACTAGGGCAGTTCTTTAAATTATTTTATTTGTATGTTCAAACATATTGTGAAATATTTGTATTAGGGAAAAAAAATCTCTAGTAAAGGAAATTACTCCAGGAAAAATATGTACCCAGTGAAGGCTTGACTATAAAATTTACAGTAAATGTATGTACGTATGAACGTTATGGCATTCTGTTTCTTTTTTTAAATATTAATTGTAACTTCTTTTCAACATCTCCTTTTATTTTACTTAAGTTACTGAAGCAACCTTGCAAACAGGTGTTGTAAAATTACTGTTAAAAGAAAGACTGAGCAACGAGTTTTAGTTTTGAAAAGTCATCAAACTGCCTCTCGTGCCAAGCTCCTCTTTCAACCTGATATCAGCAGGAATATATATCACGTATGGTCAAACAACAACTTCTCTGTGATTTTACAGTATGATTTAGGGGAAAAATACTGCTGGGTCCTTATTTTGGACCCATGATGCATTGTGACTCTGTAAGATGGCAGCAGGAGAAGTTGCTCTAAACTCTTTGAATTTATTGCATTTTGTTTTACGGTGTCGTTTGTGTCAGCTTGAAATAGATCCCACTACAGAGAGAGTTCAGCTGAGAGTCTGAAGTTCGGCAGGGGTCTAGACAGCGAGTAGACTGGAGTCTGGAATCTGTGTGGATAAAATAACAGGTTCCCTCGTCACATCGCACACCACATGACCCCTCAACTCTCATTATCCTGAGGGCTCATCTGCATGTGTGTGTGCTGGAGACAGGTGCTGACTAGGTGACTGAGTACACAACTCCATTCATGGTCTCCAGACACATTTTGTCAAAGTGTGGTTTTTAGTATCGCTTTGACAGCAGTGATGGTCACACAAGACTTCACATGCTGCCAGCGGGCAGAGTGATACTTTCTGTTTACAGGCAGTGATACTGAGGCAGATAAACATGATGACATTTCACTTTTTCTCTCTCCCTCTTTCCCTTCTCTTCCCACAGTTTGGACCAACGTGGAGCCTCGGTCGGTGCCAGTGTTCCCTTGGCATTCGCTGGTCCCTTTCCTGGAGCCCAGCCAATCGGGAGCAGCTGCCCAGCCCGTTGATGGCCAACAGCTTGTCAATCAGAGCAAAGGTACCAAATGACCATATTCCTTTTCTGTACACACGACCTCGTAAGGTTTTACCCAGGAGAGGTGTGCCGAAGATGGATTCGTGCCCTAAAAACAGTTTTATAAACAGTTTTCCCACAATAAAATATTCATAACAGGAAACGGCATGCAGGGATATGTTCTCAAATAACGCCTGCCAAAACAATCAAGTACGAATCAACAGCCAAGTCAGTGTTTCCCAAAACAGTTGCGACAGGATTGCAAATCACCACAGTTGGTGTTCACACCATTATTATTCTCGTAACATTGTTGATAACACTATTTATTGAGTCAAGTACTGAAATCTATTCAAAGACTGATTTGAGCAGGTGGGGATTGTCAGTAAGCTACAAGCTAATTTGGAAACAGAAATCTCTTTTGTACACATCTTAATGGGATTTTATTTTAGGCCCTTTAAGTCATATTTTTAAGAGCTGTAGGCTGTTTAAAGAGGTTCTGCTTACCACCTCTCTATTTATATCTGCTACTGGAGTAGCTTTGCATGATTCACAGTTCAAAATAAACAAGTAGCTTTAGCTCCTCCTTCTTTAAGCCAGCTTTCATCTGATTGGCTGCTCCTTACAAATAGAGGTTTGAACAGCAGGAGGAAACTAAAAGTACTAAAAACTGTCTCACACCCAGCATTTTGAGCTGTCTGAAGCCTGAGCCTTTCAGCCACAGGGATTTTACATGTTAACCTCATTATTTGAGACTTCATCCATGTTTAATATGATCTCTACCACTTTAAACAGTGCATACCACATACGAGAGAAAATAAGGGTCTACTTTAAGACCTGCTTCGAAGGTCACAACTTAAAATTGCTTGTTTTATCTGCTCAGAAAATCAGAGTAGCTGGTGATAATTTCCCAATGAGCTGACCTGCTCATGAGTATTTAGCAGCATTTGCTGCACACACCAGCATTTTCAGCCAATGTTAGTGTTTTTATAAATACTTAGCCACCTAGACATCACTCATTAGTTTTTGGATTACCAGTTTGAAGGTTAGAGTTTGACGTTTGGCCCAGTGCCATCTCGGCTCTGTGAAACCGAATATGACTATATTTAGATGAGAGAATAGAGCTGATCAGCTAATGCCTAGCTAATTTGGTTAGCAAAGTGTATCTGTTATATACACAGACTGTATAAGTGAAGACAGTGCAGTTTTGATCACTAGTTTCTACTTCTACTGAAATGCAGCACAACGTTTATTGTGCAAATTAGAGTTTGAAAGCAGTATGAAGCATGGTGTGCTTTAGGGTGGGCCTACTAAGAGTTGCTGTGTAAGCATGCAACGCCTCTTAGTTTCTCTGTGAAATCCACCATCACTTATCATGTGTGGTTTCAAAACATCAAGATGACGATGCAGAAATACTGAGCTTGAGGCTTCACAGTAATGGTAAACGGTAAATGGCCTGCATTTGTATAGCGCTTTACTCAGTCCCTAAGGACCCCAAAGCGCTTTACACTACATTCAGTCATTCACCCATTCACACACACATTCACACACTGGTGATACCAGTGGCACTGAACTGCCCATTTGGTGACAGTCGGTGGTTATTTACAGTAAGTGGCTTTATTATCTTAGAAGTCAGCAGGGTTAAAAACAAAATTTTCCTTACTGGAGAAAGTGAACAGCCAACTCTTTTGATGATACTGAGAAATACTTTTGCTAGAAAATTAGAGAAATAACATCGAGAAAACAAAAGTAATATTAAGAGAGTGAGCAGAGAAAGAAAACCCCACTCTGTTTCTCATCTGTGAAAGTGGAATAGATAACTTCGTTGGACCCAGATCACCATGATCAGACTGCACCAAGTTACAAAATGAACATCATGCTGTATTAAATAAAAAATAAAATTAGCTTTGGAGACTATAAACTCATGAGGACATTATTTGCTGAGGCCTTAAATCATGTAATTTTCTCATAAACGTCTGCATCATAAGACTTCTGTTTTTGCCACTCCTGGATCCACATTTTAGACCCAAAAGCTATGTCTTATTTTATTTTGTTAGATTTGTTCCCCACACAGCCTGACTGACTAAATGCTGCAGAGAGTGTTAGCTAAATAAGTAATGGTGAATTCAGAAGTTGAAGCCAGTCTCTGTAAACCCGTCAAACCTTGAAAACAGAATAAATACAAGGAATACTCGGCTAAATCTTTCAGTCTGTGGATTTAATGGACGCATACTTATTTGATGTACAGATTTAGATTTTAACTTTTCAGAGAACAGTTTCTTTATGTTTGCCTCCATCTTACACAAGTATTTTTGTTACTACAGCAATAGATTATAACATAGATTGAGTCAGAGCTTGTCACACCTCCCACAGACAGTTGGCCAGAATACCTGCCATCAGCAAGCTGCATGCAGAGTAGCCCCGTGTTTACACATACGCCACTGTTACTTTCATAAGGCTTCTCCACTAACTGGCACATAAATCGCTTTTTTTGGGTAATATTTTCAGAGCCTCGCTGTGCTGTAGCTCTGGTGAGTGACGGGCGGTCAGGTCCTCCAGACCTGGAGAGAGGATCGCCATCATGTCCACCCCCAACGAATGACAATCCTCCTACAGACAGGGGTGGGGTGGACAGCGAGATGGAGAGTGACACAGATGACCCGTAAGTACAAAATGTTTGTTTGTTTGTTTTTTCATTTTATGCAGAGTTTCTTTCTGGCGAGTGATGTTTCGACGCGTACAGGGTCTTTTTATATGTTTTATTTGCTTGGATATTGAGGATTAAAGCCATAAAACGCACTACAGTCAGCTGACTTCAGTTCCTGTGGGCATCAAAGGACAAGCGCATGATTTGAAAGTGCATTAAGACCAGGAAGTACCCACTGCTGTTAAAGTGACCTGGAATTTCTTAATTGTTTTTTCTTTCTTATTGTTTTAAAGAGTTTTTATTCCTGTGAAGCACTTTGAACCTTTATATATGATTCAAGACTATAGAAGTGGTTGTGAGTGTACATGAGTCCAGGAGTACCATGGAATTTTAAGTCAACCAAGCTTTATTATTTTAACTGCACAAATGGAATTTACATACATTCAGTGCCCTGAATGACACGTCAAAGGTCCTGATTGGTAGAGAGGACAACATTTGTGAGGGGGAAGATTTCTTGTGTGGAGAAAACAAATAAAAACCCCTAAAGATGAAACAAAAGCTATCAGGAGAAATTACTCCAAAAGTTTCCTGTTTATGACTTCAGCTGGACTGGGGGTGTCAACGGCTTTCAGCATGAGTGTGTCATTTGTTTTTGAGGAGGTAACCACTAATGCCATTGTGCCAAATGAGTTAGAAAGGCACTTGAAGACCAAGGGTCCCCTTTCAGAGAAAGTTTGGCTACTGCAAAAGAGCACAGGATGTTAACTAGAGACGGCAAGAACGTGTGCTGGATTGTGTGGAACTGTCAGATGATGAGGAGTGGGGTTTTAGTTTTAGTGGGGCTTATTGCAAAAGCGTCTTCATCTGACAATAAAATCAAAATTGTCATTCATGTCATTCTGGATAGCATAAAGGGCTTTTTCTCTGCAGATGAAAGCTTGATTTCTCTTTGAAGAAAAGCTAGAAAACCACTGAGCTATACAAATAAAAATGGCCCGACTCTTTGCAAACAACTGCAAAGAAGGCATGCGAACAAAAACACTAATAATGATGTGCCTGCTGACCTTAAACAAGCAGCCAAAGCCTGATTTTTAACACGTAACAAAAGTAGAGCTGAGGCTTGTAGCCTCCATTACAGCACAATCTGCATGGCCTCAACATTTTCCTGTGAAGTGCACTTTGTTCTGTTTGCCCTGTGTTGATACTTAAACACTAAAAAAAGCTCTTGTGTGTAACCTCATTAGGATAGAGACTTGAGCCTGTGTGTGGGACTGTAGCCTAGGATTCATGTGGTTCACTGGTAATGATGCAATAAGTCGTCTCAGGCCGTGCACACAAAATAAGGAACCACAAGGATAACGTTGTGTCTTTAAAGTCTAAGCTCTTATCGATGATGACCCCAGCCCATATTCTGTGCTATCAGAGTATGTAAATATTGCTTTTGTTAAGCCGTTCTTCCAAGTGTTGGCAATGAGGAGGGGGGAAAAAGTCATTCTAAATGATACGCTTAAAAAACAAGTTGCTTTTTGCTTTTCTCCAAAATATACAGTTAGAGTTTTAAAAAAAATAGCAGATTATATGTAAGATATTACTTTTTTGAGTACAGAGGCCAACATTTATGAGTGCTGTTGGAGAAGAAGTGGAATAATCACAAAAAACAAAAGGTTGAATTTAAATTCAAGTGTAGAGAGTAGCCTGGTCCCCTGACCAATCAGAAGCCAGTCGACTGCCGAAGCGGTTTAGGTCTTATTTACATGCAAGTGCAGTCTTTATATCTGTCTGCTACTCACATATGAACTCAGTCACTTCTTAGAGCGAAATAGCAAACAGTCTGGAAATCTGTTTATCAGTAGCTGCTTGCTGGTCCCCTCACTTGCTGCTGAGGATATTTTATTCTAAAGTTTTGTGTTTTTTTTTTCAGAGTCTCGCTGAAACAACAGAGTGTTGTTAACCAGGGACCTTCTGTCCCTTCGTGCTCCATTTAAATGGTGTCAACTCATTTTGAGCAAACACTTCATACATAGTGTTTGTTTCCTTTCTGCGACTCTCGGTATGACTCATGAAAGCGGGTAGTAACTGTGGATTATATTAGATGCAGTTTGTCGGTATAGTTTGAATCTCCAGCTTTAAAACTCTCAAGGACTCTACACTTGGAACAGGTGTATTGAAATCCACCTTTGCCAGCAGAATTCAAAAGAAACAAACAACTTTTCTATCAGCTGCATCGGTGTATGTGTGTTTAAGTGTGTGTGTGTGTGTGTGTCTGGCAGGAGTTGTATAGTCTGTGCTTGTTCATTCCTCTCAGTCTCAGGCTGTGTCTTTGCATCTGGCGGGGTTATTGCTCTTTCAGAGTGACTCAGACGAGCTGCGCGGCTGTCTGGCTGGTAGTGTGGTTATGAATGTTTCAGGGTCACTAGGCTCACAAAGGCTGCTGTCGCCAAAAGAAATAGATCAGCAATATCTTAACGTTACACTGCTTACACCTGTTATCTGCCTACATCTCAATGGAGAGGACAGCGGCATTAATAAAAACAAAAAGTCTGCACATTTAAAAAGAGCCGGTATATTAGCTCCGCTACCCTGTTTTTATGTTATTCGTTATCAGCCTCTTGTTATCGGTCCATTCCCAGTCTCTTGCTTTCTTTTTCTGCTTTTGTTCACTGCCACACAAAAGTGAAACATCCCCCTACACAAGCACATTCACACATACGCCTATAAACAGTACTGACTTTACCCAAAGTCCTTCTAGAAGAAAGTGTCTCCACTTGGCAGTTGTTCCTGTTAGCAAACACTAAGGCCCTGTCTGAGCGAGTGGGGAGAGAACCATAACTTTTGCTGCATGTAAAGAATCGGTAATTAAATCTGATTTAAAAACTGGCTTAAAAGTCAAAAAACTCCCGACGTTGTTTCCGTGAAATCTGCCAAACTCCCCGACGGAAGCTTGTGTGCCATGTTTAACGTGTGGTTTAAACATGACCATGCCATGAGAAAAACACTATTTAAATTATTTAACCCTCAAGTCGCCGAGCTATTTTAGTTTTAGTAACTGTGACCTCCTTACCTTAGCGTTCGTTGCAGGCTTATATTTAAGATTTTTGTTTGTACGTGTGCAGAAACATCTTCTGCAACAGCAAATGTTGCTACGCTAAATCTGTTAGCGTAGGTTTGCTTCAACACACAGACGTGGGAAATTCCAATCAAATCAGTAGCTGTGATGTCAAAAAGCACATATATATTACCGTTGGCCTTCCCACACCAATGGACCAATTGTCATTAAAAACAATGAACAGTTGGAGTAGAGGTGAAAATATTTCCTCACATAAATTTATGTCGGGAAACTTTTTTACAGTCAAAACTACCACATCAGCATATTTACATATGTGTCTGTGGCAGTGTTGGGGAGTAACGGAGTACATATGTTATGCTATGCCCTCTCTATTTTTGGTAATTCCACGCCGGTGGAACCCCCAAACAAAACACGCATTAAGAGGCTCTAATGCCTGTGTCTCAATCTCACGGCCTATGTCACCTCTACTTGCGGCCTGCATAATGACGTGACGAAATATTTTTAAAAATTATTGTTCAAATAATTATTTTTGTGTTACAGGCATAGCCTCATGGGCTACATTTAGTGTAGTCCAGTTGTAAGTAAGCTATTAAGACTCGACTGTACACTGTGTTCGTGTTTTCCCCGAAACAATAAGTTCCGTTGGAGCAGCCTTTCAACGCCTCTCTCTGTCTCTCACTAGCAAAGTTGACCCAGACAACAAAGTAAAGCTAGCCCGACACAGAACCCGGCGTATTAGCCAGACGTCCCTTTACTACGGTTCGGAGCCGCGGACCTGTTTTGTATATGCGCGGAATAGTTTACTATACGAGATCGCTGCAAAAAGTGCAGCTTTACATAATGTCCACCCTACTGTTACTCATTTATATTAAGATTTAAAAATCTAGTTGGTATTGGTATGGCGAGTAACCTTCAGTAATAGTAATAATTCACACAGCAATAGTACATTTATGTAGCTGTAAAAAACATGATAATATATTACATTACTCTCATTGAGTAATGTAACGGAATACATTACAAAATACATTTGGGGCATGTAATCTGTAATCTGTAGTTGAATACATTTTAAAAGTAACCTTCCCAACACTGGTCTGGGGTCATGAATTGTATATTTGGCTACTTGAGGGCTAAGAGCGAGTATCTAATTTTGAAGACTTTGTACACTGTATGGACAAAAGTACCGGGACACTTATACATGTCACCTATAGGAGCTGCTCAGCCTTCACAACATGGGTTCCATGCTGTGAAGCTCCCAGTGCACAGTTTTCATGCTGATGTTAATACCAGAGGAGTTTTGAAACTCTGCAGACTGTTGAGTCAGCAGAACGGCGGTAATTTTAACACCCTTTGCGCCTCAACACTCGGCGCTCTGTAGCTCTGCGTGGTTTGTCACTTTGTGGCTCAGTTGCTGTGGTTCCTGCAGTAATACTACCTTCATTTGAGAGTGGAGAGAGGAAATCTCACAACGCATCTTATTACAGCACCACGCTCAAACTCTGCAGTGTAACCCATACTTTCACAGATGTTCGTAAAGGCAGACCTCATGGCTCTGTGTTTGTGATTTTATACACCTGCGGCAACGAAAACACCTGAATTCAAACATTAAGAGATGTTTTTACATTACTTGTTGTCCATATAGTTACTCCTTCATTACCAGCTTAGTCCAAGTCTCAGCAGAAAACCTGAATAATTCTGCACTAATCCACGTTATGGGCCACAAACACTGAAGATACAGCGAAGATACCTACACCTGCACTATAATATCGAGTTACTGTCATGAATATGAGTAGCCCACGTGTTTCCTGAATCAGCCATCGATCGGCTCTATGAGGACAACCACTGTTCCAAGCTCCCTGATTGAGAGTCTCAGAGTACCATGTCTCTGAGTCAAAACTAACTTTATGTTCTTCAGCATCAGAAACAGAGACAGTACTAAACCAAATACGTTACATTTAGATTTCATAATGCCATGGTGTCAGTTATATATAACATTCCTGTTTTGGGTGGCTTTGGCATTTAATATAATTCAGCAACACCATCAAAGAGGTTTTTAACCTTTCACAAAATGACTGTGTTATCAGAGCTTAAAATGTGTTTTTCTTCATCAGATCTTCAAAAGTAACAGGAACACAAGTCTCTTTGTTTGGATCAATCATGCTTATGTATGTAACCTTCCCCAAAGGCTCAACCCTGATATTCTAATCAGTTAATAAAGTAAAAGTCTTAATTGTTATTTTCCATACGATGGTGCTGTGTTGTTTAAAATGTGCTATAAACTTGGCTTTGTTAATGACTGTTTTGAGGGGTTTTCTGTGTAATATCTTGGCAGACATTTCTTAAGCTTGTTATTCCGATAATATCTTTTTACCCCATCCTAACTCTCTGACTCATTATTGTGTTGTTTTTTTTTATATTTCCTTGTTTCCCATAGCTTAATCATTATCTCCATGGACACTGTAAATATTACTCTTGTGCCTTCATCTGCTTTTGTTTATTTATTCTTTCTTTTTCTTGTGTTTGCCATATTTGCCAAAAATGTTGAGTAGAAAAGAAAAGGAGAAGAAAAAAACACCATATTCATGTAGTCACAGCTTGACACCGAGTTCACTGTCTAACAGACTTTCTGTCTGCCTGCTCACAAAAGCTTTTCTTCTAAACAGAGTTTTTTATTATTATTTCCTTTTATCTGACACCAAGTGTAGCAACAAGATTTCCTGTGTTTCCTGTCGCTCTCAGGAAAAAGTCTGAGAGTCAACACTAAACTATTATTCTTCTGCAGA